GTCCTCTCTGGACATCCTGAAGGTTACACCAAGTCCAAGACTGCTTCTTAGGGAGTTGGAAGAGGGGCGTGTTGGCTAGAGCAGTTCACCTCCTCACTTGTAATACTGCCCCCTCGTGTCTGGAGTCTGAAACAGCAACTGATTCTACCCAGTGTCTTTCCCCCCCACCCAACACCCCCACACAGAGAAGGCCAAAGCTACTTTTCAGTAGGGCGACTGTCCTTGATCATCCAAACCAAAGGAGGCGCCGTGAGTAATCACGCTGGATGGCAGGAATAGGTAAAGGCCGTGTGGTCGCCCTCCTCTTAACACGGAACTAAATATACCTGCACCGAGCGAGGAGCGATTCTCTCTCCGGCAGGTTTTAATTCACGCCCCAGCACTCCTTTAGGTTAACGGATGCACGCCGAAACGGGCTTTTGATGAGGGGGGTCAAAACCTCTTACTTTTGAAAGGGAGAGGGTTGGTTTTTTTTTTTCTTTTTATGAATTGATAGGTTTTATAATATGACCGGATCTGAAGGTCAGTCTAAGAATAACACCTTAGAAGCGACGGCAGGAAGAATGCATGTTTTCCGATGGGATGATTAGACGGTTGGGATTTTTTTTTTTCTTTGTGCCAGTTGGACCCCGGTGCCTGTCTGTAGAAAAGCAAAGGGATGCCTCCCCTGTGCTAGAATTTTCCCGGCCCACATCCACCTCACCACACTTTTTTTTTTGGGGGGGGGTATTTGGTCTGGGTGTTCAATATCCTTGATACATTACACTTAAGTCTGTTCTATAGGTAACCCATGGACATACGTTATCTGGTGATATGGAGAAGGGGTGAAATTATAAAGAGACACAGACCAGCCAAAACCGGTTTGGCTCAGTGGATAGAGTGTTGGCCTGCAGACTGAAGGGTCCCGGGTTCGATTCCAGTCAGGGGCCTGTACCGTGGTTGCAGGCACATTCCCAGTAGGAGGTGTGCAGGAGGCAGCCGATTGATATTTCTCTCTCATTGATGTTTCTAACTCTCTCTCTCTCCCTCTCCCTTTCTCTCTGTAAAAAAAAATCAATATATATATATATATATATTTTTAAAGAAAGAAACACAGACCAGTAAGTCTCCTTGCGATCTGTTTAATGAGCTGGTTCTATGAGCTGGTACTAACTGGTTCTACTCTTATGTGTGAGCTTGTGTCCATTCCGGCCTAGGAGCACATCTGTGTGAGCACGCCTGGGACCGGGGCCCGTTTATGAGGGTCTGGAGTGGGGTACGCACGCCACCTCACGGCTCTGCCCTGTGTGCTGACGAGAGCGTGGCGCCCCGAGTGCCGGCCGGCCTGGCCAGCGGAGCCCCTCCTCGGGGCCGGAGCAGGTGAGCACGCAGGAGCAGGAGCCGCGCGAGGGAGAGGGCGCCAGGCGGATACAGCCTCACTCCATTGATTTTGCTGTTGTATTCGGGCCCGGCTCGCTGCAAGTCATTCGACCTCTGCCCCCTCCGCGGATCCTGCCGCAGCGCCGCTCCGATGAAACGCGTCCATCACTTTTACAGCCTGTCCGCGGACGGGCCGAGCCGCCCGGAGAGTAATAGGCGCTGCCGCGCCCTGCCCACAGCCGCCCCCGTGCGCGGGGAGGAGAGGCAGCGAGCAGCCCGGGTTCAAGGTGTCCCGGGCGGAGGCCCCAGGGAAGCAGAGAGGATCTTGGGGCGGCAGGGAAGGCGAGCCCTGGGGGACGGAGCAGAGTGAGGGGCCTAGAGGCGTTTGCCGGGCTGGGGGCCCCCCTCTGTGTAGCCTTCCCCTCCCTCCTACCCTGGCTCAGGCCCCCGTGCGCCTCTCTTCCCCTGACTGTGCCAGAGGTCACTGTCACAGCTCCCAGCCTCAGTTTCCTCACCTGTGAGAGGGCAAGTGTAGGCCCTGCCCTGAGTGTCTAAGCCGGTTGCTATGGTGATCGGGTGGATGGATGGGAAAGCTCCTGGTGAGCAGTGAAGGGCCATACAGACACCTCACCAATTTGCTCTGCTGATGTGGGTTTTGGTGCATCCGGTCACCAGATTCCCTCATTCTGAAGGCTCCGTGGTCGGGATCTCTCACCGCTCTCCCTCCTTAAGGCTCCCGGGAGGCCCCTCCGCTGTCGCGATGACGAACTGAGATCAGGGGCGCTGGGTGCGCAGGGCGCGCATCCTGCCTTCTCCTTCCTTAAATGTGCTCCGGGGCCAGTCGATCGGCAGCACGATTTTCAGTCACCAGGCGATACCTCCGGGCTGTGCACGCCACAAGGCGTGAGCAATGCCTTCGGTTCCTGAAAGAGGCTGGGAGGGAACTGGAGCCAGGGAAAAAAGCTCCTCTTTTGGGAAATGGTTCAGGGCGAGAGGCAGAGAAGTGCGGAGGGCACGCCTTGTTGGTGATCCTGGTGGCGAGGCCTGTCTGGAGCCAGAGCAGCGGCGAGGGGAGGGTCCGGCGTGGAGGGGTGGTGACCGGTCCCCGCAGTGCTCTGGGGCCCCCGTCCCACGTGTGCCAATAAAAATTAAGAGATTGATTTGCTTCCGTTTGCCTGGGAGGCTGGGCTCCTTGTCTGAGGCAGCGGCCACGTTTCTAACTGTGTGTGCGCTGTGTGTGCGCTCACTCACTTCTGGCTGATGAGTTCCCGCTCCCCGTCTGTTGATGCCACGCTCTCGCCCACCAGGGACACGCCAATATTTGATTTTTATCAGTAGGAGAGGCGTGAGGTTTTTAAAAAGTCATTTTCTAAATTCAAAGGTTGGCTTGTTTGTTTCAGTCTGACACATGGCAGAAGCACGGGACTCGTTCTGCGTGGTTTTCTCCATTCCCTAAGGGGACTCGGTGCCAGGGTGGATGCTGGCATCTCCCTGGTGGCTCTCCACCTGGGCAGCTCTGTCCCCTGCCGGGGCACTGGGAAGTGTGTTGTCTGGTAGGTGGCCTCTGCCTTCATACCCCTTACATTTTTTATAGGATTTATTCTTTAGAGCAATTTTAGGGTCGTGAGTGGAAGGTACGAAGAGTTCCCATGTATGCCTTGTCCCCGCATATGGACAGCCTCCCCATTGCCAACCCCCCTCCCCCCACATTTATTACAATCGATGGGCCTGAGAGGGGGTGTCCGTGCTCACGTCCCGGGCTGTTAATGCCCCGCCAGGCCCAGCGTGGGTGGGAGCCAGCTGCGGGGTCTCCTGGCCCCTCCTCGGAGGCCACTGGGACTGTGTCTGCTTTGTTGACCTGCGTTTTAAGGCTTGTGGTTATGGAGAGATGTTTGTATCTCTCCATTTCCCTTCCTCTCTAAAATCAATAAAAATATATTTTGAAAAATAAGCTTGGGCCGAAACTGGTTTGGCTCAGTGGATAGAGCGTCGGCCTGCAGACTGAGGGGTCCTGGGTTTGATTCCGGTCAAGGGCATGGACCTTGGTTGTGGGCACATCCCCAGTGGGGGGTGTGCAAGAGGCAGCTGATTGATGTTTCTCTCTCATCGATGTTTCTAACTCTCTATCCCTCTCTCTTCCTCTCTGTAAAAAATAAATAAATAAATAAATAAATAAATAAATAAAATATATTTTTAAAAAACAAAACAAACAAACAAACAAAAACATTTCCTTCATTTCTTCAGACTTGAAGAAGGAAGATAAAAAGACCGATCGGTGCTCGGCCGTTTGTGTTCAACTGGAAATCACACTGACGTTTTCCAGAAAGTTCCCAGGGTGTTTTCGGAAACGGGCCTCTTTGCAGGACGAGCGATTCCCGTGAGGCGTTTGTCACGGCCTGGGGCTTGGAACCGGCCGCCTGTGCCGGCGGGGGGGACTCTGGGTCCTTGTGAGCAGGTCGCGGTCTCCCACTTAGTTCTGCCTCATTGGCGCTCATCTCGCTGCTGGATGAGAGCCTTCTCCTCATAAACTCGAGGGCGATGTAACGGTTCTGCAGCGGGAATACGGTTCGGGCCGCAGAATCACCTCCCAGCGGGCGCTCCGTCTGGGGACCATGTGTCCTGCCAAGCAGCCATTTCAAACGTCGGGGCACGAGGCCGCGGGGCCGCAGCTAATCCACTTGATGGGGCTTTTATTTGTGTGTGTGGGACGGTCGCACCAGCAAACAGAGTCATCGCTCCCCCGGAGAGCCCGCATTCAGTGTCTGTCAGCCGTGCTTGTAAATGACCGGACCCACGCGTTTCTCCTGGGGCTAGAAAAAGGTGGCGTTGGGTGCTGGAGACGCAAGCCGTGTGGGTCCTTTGAGGGAGGGGCAGGGGCCCAGAGGCCTGTGGGCTAATGGTGATGGAGCCCAATGACTGTCACCGTGCAAGCTGGTTCCGGCCAGACCCAGCTCACACCGGGCTTGTCTCCTGTGGGTTGGCCGCAGCTGGTGGCAGAGTCCAAACTCCTTAGGCTCCTGGTGGCCACGCTGCAGAGGCACTCAGCCCCCGAGGCCCTGGGTCACAGGGGCGCTCAGCCCCAAACCCCTCACCGAGGTCCTAGGCCGCAGGGGTGCATGGGACTCCCAGGAGAGCCTTCAGTGCAGACGCTCGGGCTGCAGCCAGCCCAATGGACTCAGACTCTTTGGGGTGGGACCCCGGCTGGGCCGTTCTCCAGGTTCCTAAAGGGAGAAGGGTCAGCATGCAAACTGCTGCTAGGTCTTTAAAAAAAAAACAACAACAAAAAATCCTACTGCAGCTGCATAAGCAACAACACTTATTATTTCAAACTAACCTGGGTTTGGGGGAAGCGGACATAATTTCCGTTGTGGTCATTGAGGTCTCTGGTTGATCTCTGCGGTGTGACGTGGCGGGTTTTCCTCTGGATTCAGAATCCAGGCCTCCGGGACGTCCTCTCAGTGGGCTTTGGGCCCGTGGGAAACACCGGAGCACAGACAGTGAGAGGGCGTGCGGGCAGCCAGCCCCGGAGCACAGACAGTGAGAGGGCGCGCGGGCAGCCAGCCCCGGAGCACAGACAGTGAGAGGGCGTGCGGGCAGCCAGCCCCGGCCCCCCGGTCACCGGCCCGGTCTCTCCCGCGCAGGTCCCGTGGCCGTCATCAGCGGGGAGGAGGACTCGGCCAGCCCGCTGCACCACATCAACCACGGCATCACCACGCCCTCGTCGCTGGACGCCGGGCCCGACACGGTGGTCATCGGCATGACCCGCATCCCGGTCATCGAGAACCCGCAGTACTTCCGCCAGGGCCACAACTGCCACAACCCCGACACCTGTGAGTACCACCGGGGAGCGCTGTCCCTTCTGGGCGGCGGGCGGGGGTGGCGATAGGCCGTGAGGCTGGGGTTCTGGAACCTTCTGGGGTGACCTGCTGCCTGCCCCCCTCCCCTCTCTCAGAGACCCTCCCTGCTTGTCTCAACACCTGCAGAGTAGCCTGGGCCGAGGACAGGACGCCACGGGCAGAGTCCCGGGAGCAGAGAGGCAGGACCCGGCGAGGCAGGGGGCGCAGGCTGGCTGGGCTTCTCGCAGACCTGGCCTGTGCGTTTAGGAAGCACTTCGACTCTGCCCTGGCGGCTCTGCTGAGGTGGGCGGATTCCCCACCCCAGCCTCCGGGAGGGAGGGAGGGAGCGAAGGGCCGAGCGCCATTCGAATGAGGACATCCCGGCAGCTGCCCCTCCAGCGCCCGCAGCGCACACTCCCCGAGGGTCCCATGGCGGAGGCGCTAGGACCCCCATGCCCTGCAGGGTCTCACTCAGGTCAGGCCTCAGGCACCCGCTCCATCCTGGCTCTCCCCTCCTGTTGGTCCTTTCTCCTTCCTCTGTGTCTGCCGGGGGGGTCTCTCCGGCGCTCGGGGCCTCTGGCTTGGCCGCCCATCCGACAGCCATTCCCCTTGCCGGGTCCCCAGGCTCAGTCTACCCAGCGACAGTAGTGCCCCCTCCCCTCCCGCGCTCCTGCCCCCCAATGCCAGCCACTTCCCCAGGGAGCACAGGCCCTGGAGACGGCCTCAGAGCTGAAGGGACAGACACGGGCCAGGGGAAGGCCTCCTTGTAGGACAGGCAACGGAGGTTCTGGCGGGCCCTTCTCTGCCCCTGGGTTTCTGCCGTTGGTTCTCCCCATCTCGCCCGTGTTGGGGCGGCCTAGGAAGGAGAGCCTGGTCTTGCTCCCCCATCTGAGTTGGGGCTCCCCACTCTTCGTAGCCCCCGAGCTGTCCTGCTCCCCGTCCATCTCCCAGCAGAGCGGGCACCTGGCTTTCCCATCGGGCTTGGCTTCTGCTCTCTGACTTCAGCGAGAGGTCACCGGTGGGAGGCGGGGCTTGAGTTGGGACGGGGCGATCGTCCTCCCCCGTTCCCCTAGGCGTCCTCCAGCATCGGGTTTGTGGGAGCCCATCAGCGTGGTTAGAGGAGGGACTGGGTTCGGGCAGGGGGAGAAAGACCGTGATTCAGATGCTCTGGGACGGCTCTCCCTTCAGATCAGGGTCGTCCTGGCCAGACCGGGGGGTGGCGAGGAAGGCCTTCTGCGGCTGTACCACGGGACCCCGTCTCGGTTGACGTCACTGCGTTTGCTAGGGTGGCATTGGCATGGGCAGAGAGATGCAGGCATGGCTGTGTTGAGTCTGCACTTGGTTCTCGCTGTTCACAGTAGTTATGTTCTCTGAAGCCCTGTGAGCACTGCATTGGGGCCGAGGAGCCATTGCGCCGAGCGGAAATGCAGGGTTAGGTTCCTGCCAGCCCCTGGCCATAGCAGTGTCCGCGGCTGGTCAGGACCAGCTGCTTCATGCTTGTTCTGCTTGAAGACTTCTTATTAACAGGTGCTGTTGCGTCACTAACATTGCCCTCAGGGTCCATAGCACTGACACATGCCTAAACGAAGCTTCCCTAACCCAGGAGTCCTGCCTAACACCCTATTCGCTCCGGAAGGCACCCCAGCTTCTTGCTCTTAGGGGCATAGCCAGCACTTGGACTCTATGCTCGTGGGACACACACAAGAGGGTTTATTTGGTCTCAGCTGGGTTCGTGTGTGTTGGGAGGATTTACCCCCTTGCATGTCTGTGAGTGACCATGAAAGTGCGGCTCACATTGGCTTGGGGTTTCACATACGCTTTAGGGCATCTGATACAGACCCAGGAGAGGACAGAGGCGGCTGGGTTAAGCACAGACCCAGGAACGCCGAGGATGGCCTATGTCCTCCTGTGGACACTCTGGGTCATGGCTGTGCTCCTGTGAGCTCCCGATACCCGGATGGTGGGGTGAATTTGGCTCGTGGGAAAGAAGTTCAGTGTAAGCGGAGAACCCCCCCCCCTGCCCCCCAAGGGAGCGTGGGATCTGCGTGTCCTGTGACGTCAGGCCCCTGCATCCAGGCAGGGGTTTTCGCCCGGAAACCGAGGGAGGTGATGCCGTGGCCTTCCGGGATCTGACAGGTCTCCTATGAAGGTCGGGCCGCAGCGGCCAGGGCAGCAGGTGGCGGACAGACCTGAGGGACAGGGAACAAGCAGTGCCTCCTGGAAACACGAGAGGCGGCTCCAGCTCAGGCCTCTGCCATCAGGGAGGCGGGTGTGTCCTGTCAGGAGACAGCAGATGGCCTTCCTGGTTTTCAGAAAACGCGCTCACTGCGGACCACAGCTGGTGTCCAAGACAGAGGATGCCCTCCGGGTGCCCGCGGGGAGTGGGCTGTCTGCTGAGGAGTGACCACTGCTTCTCTCCAGACCTCCAAGCCCACCTCCAGCCTCTCCCCGCCCTGCAGAGCCCCACACCCCATCCTTCCTCTCTGAGCCCTCTGCTCCACTCCACATCTGTCCTTCCTTTCTCTGCTCTCTGCTCCATCCCACATCTGGCTCGTCTCCAGCCTCTTCCTGGGCCCATGCCAACGCAGCGACGTCTCCCTCCCGGGAACCGCGCCGCCGCAGGGCAAACACCATGCTCTCCCCATGACTCGGAGTCACATCTCATACGTGTGCGTGTCTTACTTCCCAAACCTGCCTCGATGCTCATTCCCATGAGGGCTCTTGTGTGTCCCTTCTTCCTCCGTGGCTTTAATGCAGCTGCCTGAGGGCCTGGCTTCCCTCCTTCCCCAGGGCAGGTGCGGGATGCGTCCTCCAACACACCAGCCTACGAGGCAAGGCCTGGCGCAGAGATTCGGTCCGGTCTGCGGGCTGCGTCCCTTCGGCCGGGACCGGGACTCCTCCCGAAGGGAGCCAGTGGCTGTGTCCTCCTCCCTGGCCCCGTTGGCCACGGCGCCGCCTTTTCTGGAAGAGCTGCAGCCAGGGCCAGTCCCCAGCTGTGGTGGGAAAGCAGCCTTTTGTGCATAATGCAGTATTAATAGCGCGTCGGCATGATATAGATTTCTGTCATCTTCTCTGCTAACAAATATCGCTGACTGCGGGGTAATGATGGGTGTTTATTCCCAGCCACTTAGTTTAGCATAATGGACTTGCAGATGAAATATAGAAAATGGACTCCCTCGTCTGGGAGGCCGGGCCGGCCCTGCTGCCGGCTGCTGCAGGATAAACCTTTCTGGGTGTCTCTCTCTGCAGAAGTCGGGGGGCCCTGCCTGGCGGGAGGAAGGGATGGGGGACAGGCCGGGCTGGGAGTGCGGCTGAGGAGGGGAGGCCGCCTTGCGGGCGGCTGTTCGCTCTGTGCGTGGAGTTGGGATGCAGGCTTGGCTACGTGTGTCGCGGGGAGCATACAACCGATGTGGGGGTGCGCCGTTCTGATGCACCCCATCCTTCATCCTGCTGCGTGGATCTCGCCGGTCCCCTTTCGGGCACCTGTAGGTCGAACCTGGTGAAGGTAACGGTGATAGTTTGCCTGAGCCTTCTGCGCCAGGTGGGCGTCTCCAGGCCTTGCTTGCTAGGCCGTCTCGCGTGCAGCATTCCCAAAGAGCGGTGTTCGGCGGCTCCCTTGGGTGCCTCTTCAGCGCTGTCTGTGGATCCAGTTAGACCTGCAGGACCCCGTGGTGCTAGCTGGGGGAGCCCAGGAGGAGAGGATGACTCGGACACATCACCAGTTTTTTTCTTGTCTAGAAAGGGCCAACGGTGTCAGAATGGATGTCTGGGAACCAGTGAGTCCTGGGCCGTGTGCTTGAGCTCGTCCTGAGGGTCTCAGTCCCTGGAGATGACCTTCTATGGGCTGCTGACTCCTCAGCGCCCGATCGAGGCATCATCCAAGCATTTTGTCATTTTTTTCCCCCCCAATCCCAGGAAGAAAAAAACATGAAATGATGCCATTTCCCCCAAATTACCTGAACACCCTCTTCATCCCTAAGTGTACACTTTGGAGCTGTAACCAACTAGTCCAAAGGGGACTGACTCATGTCCGTCTCCCTGAGCCACCAGCCTGCCTTCCCATTGGACACCGTGGCCGCACCTGCTCTGAGCTTCCTGCCATACCCACTCGCTCCGTTAGCTGCATGCCGTCATGCTGCTTAAGTCATCAGGCATAATTATGCTCACCGTGAATACTCAGTTATTGGCTTACAAAAGTCCTTCAGGAGTAAGTGTGCTTCACGGTGGAGGAGGCGACAGTGATGGGGTCCCCAGCCAGCCTGGAGTGATGTCATTTCCAGTGGATCGTGAATCCCAGGGAAGTGGCGCCTGGCGGTGGCGGAAAGGAAGGGTGGGTGGGACCCGCGTGTCCTGTCCAGAGCCCTCGACACAGAAAGACTGCTCCTCATCGTGGCACGTGGTGGCCTCCGTCTTGTCTTCAAGGAGGAAGAACATTCGCTCCCTTCCAGCTCTGCTCCAGCTCAAGGTCTCCCAGCAATACCTCCGCTCCTTTCTCCTTCAGCTGCGCCCAGGCATCCAGTGTGTATCTTAGGGGGGATCATCCTGAAGCGGCTGAGAACTACAGACAGGGGTCCGATGGGAATCCCAAGGGGGGCTTTATTGATAGACTTTAATAAGTTTGCTCGGCCCAGTCAGCTTGGCTCAGTGGTTGAGCATCAACCTAGGAAACCAGGAGGTCTAGGTTCGATTCCCAGTCAGGGCGCATGCCCAGGTTGGGGGCTCCATCCCTAGTAGGGGGTGTGCAGGAGGCAGCCGATCCATGATTCTCTCTCATCATGGATGTTTCTGTCTCTCCCTCTCCCTTCCTCTCTGAAATCAATAAAAATATTTTTTTAAAGGAAGTTTGCTTGGACTTAAAAGTCAAAATGGGCTCCTTGATGCCTCCCGCAGTCTTGAACTTGGTGAGCACAGTCAGGAGTTGGGTCTGCAGAGCAGACTGTCTCTCCAGCTGCAGTGAGGACCATGGTCTGCCTCAGCTTTCACAAGCCGGGAAG